GTCCAGGAAGACTGAAGTGTTCTCCTATTGGCTTTTGTATGTTTTCATTCCATACATTTGAAGAAGTGTTTTTTTACCCATGAAAGCTTATGGTCAAATAAATTTGTTCGTCTTTAAGGTGCCACCGGACTCCTTGTTGTTTTTGTGGATACAGACTAACACAGCTACCCCCGATACATGAATGTGTGTAGTATCATTGACCACTACCATAAGTCAAGTTACTTACAAATGTAAGTGTTTGCTTCGTGAGAGCCAAAGAGTCTTCAACTGCCACTCTAACTAGTCATGGTTAATGCTCTTTTAGTTCCGGTAATGACTATATTGTTATTTGGTTTTCACTCTTTACAGACCGATTGTTTTAACTATTGCCTATTTTTTACTGGCAATAAATGTATTATTGTTGTAATAGAAACAATCCCCCTTCAATCCTTTCTTTTCCTGACTGTCCAGGAGATCTAGCCTATCTTACTTCCTTGTCGCTATCCAGAGATAAGGGATGAGTGTGCCCCTCTTCTACCCTGCCCATCTCTATTGCAGAGATATTGGCTGTCAGAGTAATAAAAAACAGTCAATGAGATGGGGACATATTAGTGAAAGGTTCCAAAGATCCTGGTGGTTTCCTAGGGTGGGGGCTGGGGGGGCAACAATCTGTATCATGAGCTCCCTACTGATTTTTCTCGCTCCAGCATGCCCAATCTGGAACAACATAGAAACATACTGTATATTTCACTCTGTCATTTAAGAATACATGCAGTTTATTTCATGATGTGAGTAATTTTGGTAAATTTATTATGTGTGTTCTCAAACATGGATTGTGCCCCAAAAGAGCACTTTCTACAAGATCCTTCAAGCTGTTAAATTTGAGTAGTTTGAGTACAAAACTTCCTAAAACCTAATTACAGTGCAATTTTTTTTTTATAGTTGAGTTATTCTCTTAAATCCCATTCCTCAATGGGGAACAGCACACGTTTAGGAGTTGAGAACAAATGTGTAATGTGAGAACAGAGAGATGCATGAAAATGAGAAATATGGATGGGGAAACAATAATTTCTAAATCTGTCTCAAGTTATAAACCAAACGTTTTATTTACATACATGCATTAGGCATATTACTGTTGGAAAACAATGTATGCCCTTTTCAATAAGTTAAAAAATACAAATTAATGTAGTTAGAAAAGCTGCACCAGGTGCCTTTTTAAAAGAAAAAGAAAGATCCTATAACTGTATTTGAATAATTTTTCTATCTGGTGTCGATTCTTACAACAATATGGTATAACATAAAGCTGAAACATTTCTGCTTTCTAGACCAGAGTCCAGTTTAAATTAATTCAATTTTCTAGTAAAAGGGAAACAAAAGCAAGAACAAGGAGCAGATATTTTAAAAATTACTGATAGCTTCTGGCATGATGAAGCTGTTGATATTTTTGTATGAAATCTAATGAGTTTGTGATGCTAAAGGAGCGTACTGTAAAGCACGTGTAAGTTTCTTACTTCTGAATATGTGCTATATTTTAAAAGCTGAGGTAGGCAGTAATCACCCCAATGCTCATTGCTTGAAGGTACCCTTAGATATCTCTGTATTCACATACAGCAATATATTTGTATGTTGCAAGCTATGGTAATTCTCCAGGCCTTGCCTAAACTACTTGTTCTTTGATTCTAAATATCTAATAATTAACAAGCCGGGGAATGCATGTCCCTTCACTCTGTTGTCACATTAGAACATAAGAACAGCCACGCTGGGTCAGATCAAAGGTCCATCTAAGCCCAGTATCCTGTCTTCTGACAGTGGCCAAAGCCAGGTGCCCCAGAGAGAATGATCAGAACAGGTAATCATCAAGTAATCCATTCCCTGTCGCCCATTCCCGGCTTCTGGCAAACAAAGACTAGGGACACCATCCCTGCACATCCTGGCTAATAACCGTCAATTAATTTATCTAGTTCTTTTTTGAAGCCTGTTATAGTCTTGGCCTTCACAACATCCTCTGGCAAAAATGTTCCAGGGGTTGACTGTGCGTAGTGTGAAAAAAGTACTTCCTTTTGTTTGTTTTAAACCTGCTACCTATTAATTTCATTTGGTGACCCCTAGTTCTTGTGTTATGAGAAGGAATAAATAGCACTTCCTTATTTACTTTCTCCACACCAGTCATGATTTTATAGACCTCTATCATATCTCCCCCTAGTCATCTCTTTTCCAAGGTGAAAAGTCTCAGTCTTATTAATCTTTCCTCATTCGGAAGGTGTTCTATACCCCCAATCATTTTTGTTGCCCTTTTCTGAACCTTTTCCAATTCCAATATATCTTCTTTGGGATGGAGCGACCAGATCTCCATGCAGTGTTCAAGATATGGGCATACCATGGATTTAGATAGAGGCAATATGATATTTTCGGTCTCATTATCTGTCCTTTTCTTCATGATTCCCAACATTCTGTTTGCTTTTTTGACTGCTACTGCACGCACATTGAGTGGATGTTTTCAGAGACCAATCCACAATGACTCCAAGATCTCTTTCTTGAGGGGTAACAGCTAATTTATACTCCATTATTTCATATGTATAGTTGGGATTATGTTTTCCAATGTGCATTACTTTGCATTTATCAACATTGAATTTCATCTGCCATTTTGTTGCCCAGTCACCCAGTTCTGAGAGATCCTTTTGTAGCTCTTCACAACCAGTTACCAATCCATGGGAGGACCTTCCCTCTTATCCCATGACAGCTTACTTTCCTTAAGAGCTTTTGCTGAGGGACCTTGCCAAAGGCTTTCTGAAAATTTAAGTACGCTATATCCACAGGATCCCCCTTGCCCACATGCTTGTTGACCCCCTAGTAGATTGGTGAGGCATGATTTCCCTTTACAAAAACCATGTTGACTCTTCCCCCCCCAAAATTATGTTCATCTATGTGTCTGACAATTTTGTTCTTCACTACAATTTCAACCAGTTTGCTCGGTACTGAAGTCAGGCTTACAGGCCTGTAATTGCCAGGATCACCTCTGGAGCCCTTTTTAAAAATTGGCATCACATTAGCTATCCTTCAGTCATTTGGCACAGAAGCTGATTTAAATGATAGGTTACAGACTACAGTTAGTAGTTCTACAATTTCACATTTGAGTTCCTGAATATCATCTGGTCCTGCTGACGTATTACTGTTTAGTTTATCCATTTGTTCCAAAACCTCCTCTAAGGACACGTCAATCTGGGACAGTTCCTTGGATTTGTCACCTAAAAAGAATGGCTCAGGTTTGGGAATCTCCCTCACATCTTCAGCTATGCAAAAAAATGATTTAGTTTCTCCTCAATGGCCTTATCATCCTGGAGTGCTCCTTTAGCATCTCGATTGCCCAGTGGCCCCACTGGTTTAGCAGGCTTCCTGCTTCTGATGTACTTTAAAACAATTGCTATTACTTTATTTTACATTACATATTACGTTATGTTTTGCTAAATATATTTCAACACACTATTTAAACTTGCTTCTCTCTACCACCCATCTGTCTTCTTTCCTCCTAGGAATTTCACAGATAGATCACTTTGTGTATGCTCACCAAGGCCCTGATTCTGCCAACTGTTCTACATAGGCAGACCCCTATGCCTGCAGAATCAGGGCCTAACCAACTGCTTGTGTCACATTCTTAGAAGTGCTGTGTTTTGGAGAGATTGTATCTGGCCATAACATCACAGTACTAACCAACGACCCACCATATGTGCTATTACGATGGCTAGCACCTTGAATTGTAAAACATATTCTGGGCCTGTTATTGTCTACAGCTTCCTGGTAGTAAGATCTAGGATCTTAGGATGCATTTTAAAAATGCATAAACCAACTACTGAGCTTGAGAGGGGTTTTTGGGGGGGGGTGCTAGACAAGCCCCTAAAAAAAACCACCACCACACTTTGTGGCTTGTAAGGGAGCAAACCAAAGTTACTGGACAAAACTGCTTGGTAAATAAGGAAGGTAGGTAATGGAGCCAAATGAAACTACCACCCCCCAATGGCAGTAGAAGGAACAGAACCTGGGAAATGTCTCTCTGTGGTCTTGCCACCCAGCAAATCCATGACATTTCCTTCAGAAATCCCCATGGGAGAAAAATACTGCTTATTTCTGAAATTACTTTTGATCAGCAGCTTCCCCCCACCCCTCATCAGCCAGAACAAGAATACAAAGGCATGATCAATGAGTCAATGGCAACAAGGGTGGATAGGCCTTCCATGTGGATGCCATAAAATCCATGGGTTTATCTGAGGATCCTCCTCACCCTCACAAATGGAGAAACATGCCCACTACTTATATCTGGTCCACAAATCACTCCAGACCTCCTGAACCTGCATGAAGGGGGAAGAGAGTTCTATTTTCCACAGTTTAAAAGTTAAGGAAATATTTACTTTCCCCATGCATGTAGTTGTGTTGGAGGGGATGGCTTGCTCTATGAATACAAGACAGGAACACACACACATATATATAGTTGTTTTTTCTACACATATGCCACTAGTCTCTCACTGAAATAACCAGAGATTAAAGATATCCCTACTAGAAGATTGGAACTGTAGTCTGGTGCAATCTTTTTTCCTGAGATTATGGAAATTGTACTTGCCAGTGCTTCCTAAACCTGCTTGATAGAATTATTGGTATTTTCAGCACTTCATTCATGCTTCGTCCTTTGCAAGTACCCCATTTTTTTGTTCATCTCTTTAGATTTTTATATTAGATCACATTTGAAAATAAATCTTCTTAAAACAAAAAATGTGTCTGCCCTTTAGTGATGGGAATTTATGTGTCTAAAATACACACTGAATTAGTTGGTCAAAGAGATTTGGCTTGTTTTGAATATCTCTTTCTCAGTGCCTGTCACAACTGCATGGTGTTAGATGTATTATATAGAACAGTGTTACCTAAAAAATTAACTCCTGCCCATTTCCCCCCCGCCCCAAATCTTTTTAAAATTGTGTTTCCATATACATCTGGACATGGGCTTTGTGTGTGGATTTGTTGACTTCTGGCAGCAAGGAATTAAACAGGGGCTGTTCCAGTCAAAACTACACACCGACAAAGATTGATTGGTGAGTTCCAGATTTTTTATTTTTGTTAAAAAACATAACAGTGATCTATTTTGGGTACAAATAACCATATAATGTGATTTCTTTAGTGCATATGCAGAAAGAAAGTTATGTGCATCAATGAAGGATAAACAGTCCATAGTAGCAAAACTGTCTGAATCCTACAGCCTTTCTGGACACATTTGAACTATGTTGATGAAGCCATAAAATTCCTTCAGAGAATTTCTTACCCCACAGAATTAATTTCACTCAGTAACTCTGAGATCCTGGCAAAGAAACACACCCTTCCTGCAGGATTGGTTGGATTTTAAGGCTCCAGAACAGTGGGAACAAGTCATCTCAAATACCATGTCTTTGGAGACCCAAAGATGGGTTCAGTATTGTGAATAATTGCCTATATCTGGACAAGTGAATACCACCATGTTAGATGCAGAAGTCATGACTTCCAGATGATCAGGACTATTTGGATTCTAGACATTTATTTTCTTACTGAGATAGAAAATACATTATTACATAGTCTATGGTAGCACTGACCAACGGTAACACATGCCTACTTTCACTGGTACTGTATCAAGAATGCTTTTTGTTTTGTTGAAATGGTAAGTACTTAATGAAGGAGATGAATTTCACCAATACAAACAGTTTCTTAGGAAAAAAATCATAAATAATGGAGTTTTGCAACTGAAAAGAGTAAATATTTCCAGTTTCAGAACCAGTGCAAATAAATGTTCATTAATGTGGCTACTAGTTAATAAAACTATGCATCTGTACATAATAGAAAGCAAAAGAGAAAATACTGGCAAAGAATGTGATTAGATTTGTTTTTTCTGCCACAAATTAATAGTTTCAAATGAAGGACAGTTTCCCTCTGCCTCTTTCAAATGCATACATCATATTATTTCCTCTAGTATCAAAGGACCTGAACTAGTGTTCACTGAAATCAACACTAACTTTTGATTGATTTCATTGACTGTTAGATTAGTCCCCAAAAAAGTCAGTGACTGCTTCTAGGTTAGAAAGACAATTGGATTATCAGTGCTGAGTGACAAGTTACCCATATAAAAATATGGGGAAGTGATTAACTATTTTACACCACTCCAAATACTGATCATCTGGCTTTTATATTTAATTATGTTAAAAATGGCAGCTGATGCAAAGCCCATTGAAATTAATGGATATCAATCCCTTGACTTCGTTGGGCTTTGGATCAGCCCCATAAGCACCATTTGATGAGTGTCACATTTATTGTGTCATTGTGATTCAACAGGTCTCCTATTATTTGGGTGAACAGAAGCTTGCCTTTATGGGGATTACAGGTAATGTATAATTAGGACATTTTTAGCAATTATATTTTTATAGCCCACCTGGATTTTTAATACTTCTGAGAAGCTAATATATATATAGAAAGGGTAGCAAACAAAATTCTACTTCCTTGGCAGCCCACTATAGTTATAAATCTAAACAAATTAAAGTGACTTAAAGCAAACTCAGTTTCAACCTTTATATGATGTTAAGTGTTACACTACTCTGGAACAGTGGTTCCCAAACTTGTTCTGCCGTTTGTGCAGGGAAAGCCCCTGGCGGGCCGCGCCAGTTTGTTTACCTGCCGCGTCCACAGGTTCGGCCGATCATGGCTCCCAGTGGCCGCGGTTTGCTGCTCCAGGCCAATGGGAGCTGCTGGAAGCAGCGGCCAGTACATCCCTCGGCCCGCGCCGCTTCCAGCAGCTCCCATTGGCCTGGAGCAGCAAACCACAGCCACTCGGAGCCGTGATCAGGCAAACCTGCGGACACGGCGGGTAAACAAACTGGCCCAGCCCATCAGTGGCTTTCCCTGCACAAGCGGCGGAACAAGTATGGGAACCACTGCTCTGGAGCATGTGTATTTATAGTAAAGTATTGTAGGTCAAGAGAATAAGAAAGTTTTAATATTCTGTAAGTAGTTTTCCTTCGAACTAAACTGGACCCAATCTTGCAGCCTTTTCTAAGAGCTTGTCTAGCCCTCTCATCAACATAGTGCTCTCTACACCAGGAGTTAGGTCGGTATAACTGCGTTGCTTAGGGGTGTTGATTTTCCGCACCCAAGCAACGTAGTTATACTGACATAAGTTGGCAGTGTAGACCACGGTTGAGGTTATAAGGCCACATCTATACTGCCACTTATGTTGGCAAAACTTATGTCACTCAGGAATGTGAATATTCTAACCTCAAGTGAGAGAAATCATACCAGCATAAGTGGTAGTGTGCACAGTGCTATGTCGGTGGGAGCTCTCCTGCTGACACAGCTACTGCCGCTCGTTGGGGGTGGCTTAATTATGCTGATGGGAGACCTGACAGCACCAAGCGGCTACATAAGAGATCTTACAGCGGCGTAGCTGCATTGGTACAGCTATGCTGCTGTAAGCTCTCTACTGTCGACATAACCTGAGTTTCAACTTCTTTGCCGGAAGACTAAGCTCTTGCAATGGGTTCTATTTGGGTCTATACCTTCAATCCACAAGGAAGCCAAAGCTAGTGCAGAATATGGCAGTCCACACAGTAAGTGGAGAATCTTGTTACGAGTACATTACACCAGTGCTTTGTGATCTGCACTGGCTGCCTGTGGGTTTCCAAATGCAGTTTAAGCTGTTGGTTTTCACTCACAAAGCCCTAAGTGGTATCGGACCTGCCTATCTGAGAGATTGCCTTTCCTCACTGCTGCAGGAGAGATCTATGGTGGCACTCAAATTTGATCATCCTTCCCCTCAGTAAAGAATAATGGATTGCTACTAGGATATTCTCTGTGAGGGGTCCTCTCTTGGCTTTGGCAGATGATCCCCATCCTGATCCAAAATAGTCTGGATTTGTTAATCTTCTAGGCACACTTCAAGAGGAGGGAGATATTGTTTAAGAAATGTCATTTCAGGTTTTCATTTTTCAAATCTGAATGGCGCTATTATATAGTTTATTTAGTTGTATTATGTGGGATTGCTGCTGTCTCTTGTCTGTTATATGGCTTGTCTTTTAAGTAGGTGCCTTTCTGGTTTCTAATCTAAAATAAATAAAAAGTTATGGGATTTCAGGTGCTCAGCACATTGGAATCAGGCCCATAGTTATTAAACTTTCTGAAAATAAGCTATTGCTTTGCATTAAGTTAATAAGCTATTGCTTTGAATTAAGTTAAGAGCAAAACTTTGAAGATAGTTGTGGGAGTTCTCCCTAAATAATTCATTTTTCTATTAAGGATTCCTGAACCATCTAGTATAATTATGGTATTATATTTTTGCACTACGCTCAGTACAAATATGTTATGGTGAATTCTATCTCTGTGTAATAGAGTTGTTTATTAAAGCAACATTTCTCTGATGGAGATAACTTTTGAATATTTGTTTAAAATACGCAATCTGAGCAAATAAAGTTTGACGTAGACATCTAGATTACTTTCTATATTTATCTTAAGCTGTTGAGACATAGCCTTAATAGTTTATGGTGCTGGTTTTCGACTTATTCTTATACTGTAAACCTATGCTAGTCAATGAACACAGGAAGATAGATATAAACACAAAATAGGAGGAGATATATATTATATATAAAATGTTATATAGTAACAGCAAACTAAATTCCACTTTTATGCAAGATAAAAAACTTCACTTTAGCTGGAGCAATGCTAACTACTGTAAGAGTGAAATGTTTTTGTGATTTTTTAAAATATATTTTCTAATTCACACCATCTATTTTGAATCTTGATAATGTAATTTCTAATTTCAAGTGCAAGTAGTACAGGATGTTAAGCTTTCATTAGTAGTGAGCATTAATTTTAAATTAGGAATAGAGACTAATTTGATTCCAGACTCCAGATTAAGTTATACAAATATATAAATAGTAAAATTTTTAATGTAATGTATGCACAAGCTTAAGCTGGTTTTGTGATTAGTTTTAAAAGACATTGGGGAGTATATATGCAATGTGTCAACCAAATAGATATTTACTAGTTTAAGACAGGTCACTGACCTTGTATATATGCCCATTAGTTCAACAGAAACTGATTTAAACAATGCAATTTACCATCTCTCTTTTGCAGTGTTTTAAGACTTTTGGGGAGAGGGGGTTATAATTATGACCCACACACACTAAGAAAAATAACATTTCAGTGTAATGTTTGGAAAAGGTCATGACTCCCTCCCACCATTTGTCTTATTTTTTAAACACATTCCTTATACTTTGTCATCTCAAAATGGGACAAGTCCTGGAAGTTGCCAAAAGCCTGCCAGTTGCAGCATGGCACAGAGACAGGTTGCTTTTATTTGACCTTCCCTAAAAATCCATGGAGACACCATTCTGGAGACCTTCTAAAACAATATTCATGGAGGAGATTTTGAGGGCAGCGCCTAGCAGACAACAGGACTTAGGACAAGTGCAGGGTGTAAATACTAATGGATCATTCATCAGGAACAGGGCTTTTTTCAGCACATACCGTGATAAGAGGTTTTAAGATTAGAACTAAGCTTTAGTGCTTAAAGATAGGTTGAGAAGAGTTCTTCACCATAGATCAGCTAGTTTTATCTTTAAACTTTCAATTTAATTCTTCAGGTCCTTTTTGCTTTAATTACATTACTAACTCTACATTAACATATATATTTATATATCATTATGTTAGGTTTCAGTGGCTTTGATAAGTCTGTTTGAAACAATGCTGCTGGGTTATCTGAGCTACAAGGTAAGGCCTATTGGATTTATTCTTTGGAATCAATTCTCCATTTGATAGATTTCTCTTAATGCTAAGGGCAGTTTACACATGCTCATTGACAAGAGACAAGATCCCTTTGTAAGGCAGTTTACTACTTACAGGTTGACTGAAAGATAAAAATGATTATCTTTCAATTACCTGTGACTAATTGGTCAAGAAAAATGTTACTTATAATTACACTGAAGTGCATGACTCATTCATGATTTATGAAGTTTACGATGGGTCTGAATGAAAGCCCATGAAGTCAATGGCAGTCTTTTCATTGACTTCAGTGAGGTTTTAATCAGCCCAATGCTTACTTAAGAAAAGCTGTAGAGGACTGAGAAATATCATGGTACCAAAAAGGTGAAGGAAGAAATAGGCATCCAGATGCTCAGCTAATGTAAATCGCCTCCCCCACCCCAATCAAATTTAGTGGCACTACTTCAATTTACATCAGCTGAGGACCTGACAAGTAGCACTGTATAGATTTGTAATGAATATAGATTTGCCAAAATAGGGCAACAATTTGGGGGCAAATTACTGACGTCTTTTTTCTGAAGATGTGTTATCTACATCTCCCAACAGGTGCCAAGGTCATTCAGGAAATGGTGTTGATTCAGCAATTCCTTCTGATGCTGGATTGGCATTAGGGAGCACTGTGCTGTTGGAAAGGCTATCTTTCATGAAAATGAAAGCCATGGTCTTGACTGCTTTTACTTCATTACAAATCAGACAGCACTTTTCAGAAGAATGGGAGTGTTAGGTGTTACATTCTAATTTGGACAATTGCACTCTGCTAATTTAAATGTTCACAACCTTTTATTTGGATAGTGTATTATTCTCTACTTCCTGCCCTAAGCCACTGGATAGGCTTGCAGTTAACAGTAAAATATATATATATATATATATATATATATATAAAACTTTCATTCCAGCTGGGCTGCATTTTATTAGTGGATGAAGTGATAAACTTTATTACAAGGAGGAGGGAGAAAAGTTATTCTCCATAGCCTCTGAGGATAGGACAAGAAGCAATGGGCTTAAATTGCAGCAAGGGCAGTTTAGGTTGGACATTAGGAAAAATTTCCTAATTGTCAGGGTGCTTAAGCACTGGAATAAGTTGCCCAGGGAGGCTGTGGAATCTCCATCATTGGAGATTTTTAAGAGCAGGTTAGACAAACACGGTCAGGGATGGTCTAGATGAAACTTAGTCCTACCACGAGTGCAGGGGACTAGATTAGATGACCTCTCTAGGTCGCTTCCAGTCCTATGAGTCTATGATTTATGTACATCCAAAGTATTCAGGGAGCCTTTGGAATGAAAAGCTGTAAATAGGCACCTTGCCTCAGACCCACAAAGGTATTTAGGCCCCTAACTTCCATTTATGTTAAAGAAGTTAGGAGATTAAATACCTTTGTGGATCTGGGCCTTTGGTACTTTTGAAAATCCCACTAGGCATCTTTGTTTAATTGTCTAAATACCTTTTGAAAATCTGCTCCTTTGGCCTAGCAATGCCGAACAGAGCAATGCCTAAATACCTTTGAAAATCTGTGACTAAAATTATTGCAAGAGGCAATTGAAGAAAGTAAATGTAAAGGCAAGAGAGGCCTACCTTTGTGTCTGGGCTTAAATGGTATAATGCAAAAGCAGAAAGTCTGACAGATCTATAGAGGATGGCATATTGTCTCAAACAGCCTTTCTTGTTTCTCAAATGTATTAGGTATCATAATAATCAGAGCAGAGGACTGGAAGTCAGAAATCTTGAGTTTCACTTACAATTCTTCTACTGCCTCTCTGTGTTGGTTAGAGACAATTTTCAAAGGTGTCATTTGGCGGGGGGGTATAATCATATCTCTATGGTCTTATTTTTCCAATATGTGGAGTACCCTCAACTCTCTCTGACATCAGTTCAAGTTGTTGCTGCACAATATCTCTGGAAAACTTTTTTAAAAAAATCAAGGTCCAGTTATCTGAAATTGGGCACTCAGGAATCGAGGCACACACAAATAGAGGGCAATTTTGAAAATATGGGGCCATATTTGTCTGCACCTCAGCTATTCCAACTCTAAACTAGGGATCTTTGCAAAATGCTTTGAGATCTGCTGATGAATGCAAGAACAAACTATTATACATTTGTCTTTGTTTTTTTCCTTAAAATGTCAAGTTCTCATTAGTTATATTTTTCTAATGTTTTCGTCAGAATTTCCTCACATAATTTGCCCTTTAATTTTTATTATGTGCTATTACAGTGAATTGTAAGAAGTCTGCATTTTGAGCTGTTTTGATAAAACAGTAAAATAAATGTCACCAAACAAAACAAGAAAAGGCTTTATTTTAAAAGTTTAAATATCTCATTGTGTGAAATGAGAGCATTTTGTGCTTTTAGTCTATGAGTCAATGGTATTTAATAACTAGTCAATCCATCAGAGTCACAGAGTAATAGTTTATTATACTTATCAAGTGATGATTGCCAGAAATGTTTTTCAAAGAGTGTAACATTTTTAATAATCTTAAAACTGGCTACTAAATTATACCTGATAAAAAGCAGCTAGTACTGTTTATATAAATTAGGCATTGTCCATTATAAATATAAGTCTCTTGGTGGAAAAAATAGTACAATGAAAAACAACTGGTGCCAACATACTGTTTATAAAGCAATGCCACTTTTCATTCTAAAGTTATTGGGCCAGATTTTCTAGGGCCTTGAACTTGTGTAGTTTACACCTGTGCAAACTTTATATACATAACTATTTTATCTAGCATTTTATCCCTACGCCTACTTTGCTTTTAAATGAGTACACAAAAGCAATGGTGAATCAGTTCCCTAAAGTAGTTCTTTATATCCCTGGAAAGTGGGTATAAAAATGCCATCCTGTTTTGGTAGCAATTTATATCCACTTTACAAGTATAGTAAATTACTATGCAGAAGAATGTCCATATTGAGTCAGACCAACAATTCATTTGGCCCAGTATCTTTTCTTCCAACAACAGCCAATGCCAGGTGCTTCAGAAGAAATGAACAGATCAGGGCAATCATCAACTGATCCATCCTGTTGTCCACTGCCACCTTTTGGCAGTCAGAGGCTTAGGGGCACCCAGAGCATGGGGTTGCATCCCTGACCATCTTGGTTAATAGCTATTAATGGGTCTATCCTCTATGAACTTATCAAATTCTTTTTTGAACTAGTAATAGTTTGGCTCTCACAACATCCCCTGGCAATGAGTTCCGCATGGTACAGGTCAGTGGAGAATCAGTCCCATAGGATCAGATAATGAGAAGTTGTACATTTCCTGAAGTGATTATTTTTATATCAGAGATCTGCATGGAGGCTAACCGTCCTACTTGATCTATTAACTTTAGGGCAGGTCTCTCACAATAATATACATATCTGCTCCCCATAACACTGTCTGCCAGACCCAAGACAGATCCTGTGTGATAGAACACAAGCTTTGTTCCAACAATCTGCAAGATTGAGAACCAGGTAGCAGCAGGATCTGCATGTCCAGAATCCCAAATAAAGAACTTCCTTTGTGTTTAATACACTTGTGTCCTTTTTTCTCTCTTGTGATGGACACTACCAATACAGTGAAATCTGTAGCAGCTGATCATCCTTTGTTAGGAAGCATAAAGAGAAGTCCCCTAGACAGGAAAATAAGCGAAGATATTTGTTCAGTAGGAATACATGGTGGGTGAGTTTATAATGAATTAAAAAATTGAAATTCAAATTTCATTTATTTTTTATTGTGCCCACAGTTAAATACAACCACAGCCTTTAATCATCCTTCTTCCATCACTTCTGTGTACATTTACCACACAGAACATTTAAAACTATCCAACTATAGTCTCATTCATCTGTCAAAATACAATTCTTCTGGCACTATAGCAGCAGTGGCTTCTGGAGATGAAGGTGTGTGTGGGGTGGGGGGGTGGGAGGAGAGATTAGAGAATTTCCTTTTTGCACAACAAAGCTTGTATTTAGCATTCAGTGACTGAGTCCAAAGATAGAATAATGAGGATTAATTAATTTGTTGAAATAAATGTCAGATCATTTATGTCTATTTTTAATTTATCCTACTACACTTCAAATTCTTGAGATATTGACAAGATCTATTCCACAGTGTACATGCTGCAGTATTACATTAACTAGTACGAGCTACATGAACTTTACCTTTGTGAAGAGTCCCTGGGAGCTGGATTCACAAGAGGACTTGGGTGCCTAAATCCCAGAATCGGGACCCACTGGGATTCACTGCTCAGCAACCCCCAAACCTTGTAGGTGCTTAAAATCGCCCGCACCTACATTTTTGGCATAAAAGTTCCCTAAGGGACCTTTGCTTCTGCCTCTGAGCATATGCAGCACAGTCCGACATTAGGGATCCAGACACCCAAGCCCTAAAGCAAGACACAAACCGGGGGAAGATAGGTATTCCTCTGCCTAACTCACCTGCAGGGCCCAATCTGGTAAACAGGTTCAGACCTCGCCTGCTAGATTTGGCACTTCTAGGTGATCTTACACAAAAGAGGGGGTGGAGAAGAGGATCTCCCTCTTAACCTTTAGCCCAGCAGTGAGTGTTCTCATCTGGGATGTGGGAGATCTCAAACCCAAGCTGTCTCTCCACCTGAGAGGGAAAAGAGATTTCAACTGGAATCTGCTGTCTCTCAGGTGATGGCCTTAGTCACTGAGCTATGGGATATTCTTAGTATCTCCTGTTGAAGATGTTCCACTGTGAATACATTTTTAAAAAGTCATTGGAGCAGGAGGTCTGGATCCTGGGTCTCCTGCCCTCCAGGTGAGAGCTCAAACCACTAGACTACAGAGTTACTCACACACTTTCTTACTCTCTTTGGCCCAGTGTTTAATCCACAGTTCAACAACTTCAGTACTGAAAGAATCACTGAGCCAAATATCACTGCCTATTCCACAGGGATAGCAGACTCCTGACAGAGTGATCTGGAGAGAGCTCTGTGAGGGAAGTCTCATGGAGTTTTCCCCTGCTGCTGGCCCCTATTTTAACTTCCCTGAGATATAAACAGAAAAGTGTTATGTTCTCTCATTTACCTAATCTATTGTATTCTCTCCACCCACTCACCAGTAGGAACACTAGTGCCAAATCCTGCAGTCCTTTCTCAGGCACGACTCCCAATGACATCAATGGGAGCCTTGCCTACCACAGGATTAGGCACTTGGTCTTTTCAGAATGTTGCATATTTGTACATTGTTTGGGATGAATGGTCTCTACTGTGTAACTCAGTGAAAGTCTGTTTCTGAAGTTTGGTATGTTCTGTTGTTTTAAAAAGGGAAACCTCTGGGAACAAGTTTTGCGAATACCCTTCCTCCTGGAAATAATCAACGCTGTCCCCTTTATCATTACAGTAAGTATCTGAATTAAGTGTCAGTGTCCATACCTGGGTGGGATTATGGGTCTGCTGAAGTCTCTGTTGACCTGTATGAGTGATGAGCAGGCCCTATTGGAGAGGCTAATTTAGCAAACTATGTTTTTCTTCTTGAAAAAAAATATTTAAAAAAGCCACACAGCTAACAATGCAATGAGCAAGATAAACCAGTTAGATGTAAAAGCAGAGAAAACTTGCATGGTAAAATGTTATCTATACTGTAAACTACCTATCTCAGTCACATGCTTTTGGGTATCATATATATTATACACAAAGGAGTAATGTAGTTACCAGTTTTTACATCAGGAGTACACAATTTTATAAACACTGAATTGGATGTAGTTTCTTGGACAGAAAAGCTGTTAAGATGTATTTATGTTTATTTCACCCTCCTCAGATTTTCTGGCCTGCACTAAGAAACATATTTATTCCAGTATTTTTAAATTGCTGGCTTGCCAAACATGCTTTGGAGAACATGATTGTAAGTATGACCAAAAATAGTTAGGCAAGAATAACTTTTTTAAAAATGTCCATTTCTGAGTCTGTTGTCTTCAGCAAGGCTGTTGCTTTCTGGTCAGGGGACAAATTTGTCATGAGATTAATCACTTTCACAATTCAATCATGGAAATGCTTCTACATTTTGTTGTATCACCATATCAAATTTGGAAATATTTTCCAGTAGTTCCTCAGTTGGTGGAAACTGGCACATCACTGACTTCCAACAAGGGAAGTTCCCTGAACGGCCAACTCTTATGCCACTCACATGTATTCTCTGCATCAGGGGTCTAAAGAGCTGCTATGCCCCAGTTACTCCTGACTGGCATACGGAACCATCTGGGCCAGCTGATTAAATTTAGCACAGACTCCAGGATGCTCTAAACTATGCCAGGGTGGTCAACTGACAACAACTGACTACTTTGTACCACACACTGTGCTCAGCAAATTTTAAGTGCGTTTGGGCCGTTGTATCTTATCAAAATATCATGGAACTATTGTATAGGATCAGCAGATGCATTATTTAAAAAAACCCATAACCAACCTGCTTTTTCTGTTAATATAGAATGATCTCCATAGAGCCATTCAACGTACACAGTCTGCAATGTTTAACCAAGTTCTTATTTTAATATCCACATTGCTGTGTCTTATCTTCACCTGGTAAGTAGCAGATGTTTATTCTTACACATTACATTTTCTAATTTAAGCACATCGTATTAAAACAGATATAGTAGGAATATTGTTTGTTAAGAGATAATGTTGTTCCCATGCAAGGTTTTAATTAACAGGTAGGTCCAAGGCAGTGTTGATGTAGTGAGGTTGGGTGAAAAGGGGGCTAGAGTTATTCTAATTCTTATGAAAATTAGACTTGTGCAAACACATCAGTAGAAAAAAATGTAGAGCACTACTTCTGATCTCAGGGAGAAAGTTACTCAAGTACATTGGGCCCCCTGCACAGCTCCCCAAACAACTTGAGCCCTACTGTGGGGCTATAAAAGGGAAGAGGTTGGGGCTGGACTGGCACCTAGTGGGTCTTCTTGTCCCTGTGCTCTGTGAAGATGCTCCCCACTGTAGCCTTCGTTAGACTGGTGAGACAGGTCAGGGAAGGGTCCACAGTATCAATACTTTGGCAACTCAAATGGTTCAATACTCTCATCAAAGTGAGTGCAGAGAAAGTGATAACATTTCAGCTCATGGGTTGGAATAGCAGCTTCAGTAAGGTAGCACTACAACCCAAGGGCCTACCTAAGTATACTGACCCCTTTCCAACAGCAGAGCTCCCTGTCAAACCCTTATTTCTCAGGCTGTTAGGAGGCGGTAGAGAAGGAGCAGTGAATGGGGAGGACCCTGTGCAGAGCATCTATAGTTCTATCATTACTTACTGTGCTAGCCAGGGTGCCTGCGGTGTCCCTGCATTGATGAAGCTCAGTCTGTCATTCTGGAGACACTGATTTGATTTTCTCCTGCTTTATTTCTCCAACCTAATTCTTCTGCTAGCCACTTCACCCTTCTGGTCAGGATAGAACAACACATGGCCTCTTTTAGTTCTGCCATTAATGTCCGTTCTTTAATCAGAAGAATTGGTGCTCTCTAGCAGCTCAAGGAATATTTCTATTTTTACTCCCTTCACTTACAGCCACATAACTGCATGAGGCCAGATCCCGCAGTCCTTTTCCAGCCATAATTCCTATTCAAGCCAAAACTTCTCATTCAACTCGCATGGGATTTTTTTGGCTGTGTAAGGACTGTGCCATTTGACCCACACTGTACATAATTAGGGCCCTAACAAAAATCAGCCCTTCCTCATGAAATCTGATCTCCCCTGCTGCTGGTCCTTCCCCCGCATGACTGCTCTTGGTGAGGAGATCAGAGGCACCTCCAGAGGCAGCACAGAAATGAGGGTGGTACGCCCTCACTTGTGCACTGCAGCAGCCTGGGAGCTGGGCATCCGTCCCTTCCCCCCACCCCCGCAGTTCCTGCCGCAGCTCTAGGCACCGAGCTCCTGGCTTCCCCTTCCTCCCCCAGCAGCTCCTGCTGGGGTGGGAGCTTCTGCTCCCAGTGGCTGAACCTGAGGCAGACTGGGCTCGGGGCCTCCCCCGCTCCAGCCGGAGCTGGGGGCTTCTGCTCCCTGTTGCTCCAGCCAGAGCTAAAGGCACCATCTACTGCTCCAACATGGGCAGCCTGGCCACGGGACTTCCCCAACCCCAGCTAGGGCAACCCGGTATTGGGGCTTCCGTCCTCCCCCTGCCGGAGTGGCTTGGGGCTTCCATTCCCCTCCCCTACCCTCCCCAGCCAAGGCTCAGGGCAGTCTGGGCTTGAGGCTTCAGCCCCGCAGCTGCAGCCAGGGCTTGGGGCTTCTTCTCCAAGGGGTCCTGCCAGGGTTCAGGGTGACCCAGTTGGGGCTTCCACCCTAGGGCTTCTTCTGGGGCTGGGGCACCCATTTTTCAAGGGGGCCCCCTGCCTTAATCTGTCACTGGCCTGGACTAGCAGCCCCCGGCTGGGGCACTCCTAGTAGCATGGGGGAGATCATACCCACCTCCACCTCCCAGAATCTCCTCAAACTTAAGGCAGCTCAGAGAGCACAAAAGCGAGGGTGACAATCTTGTGATCTCCCCACACAACAACTTTTCAATTGCAACCCCTCTATGATCCCATTTTGGATCAAGACCCTCCCCAGTTACAACACTGTGAAATTTCAGATATAAATATCTGAAATCATGAAACTGACCAATTTTAAAACCCTCTGGCCATGAAATTGACCAGAATGGACCATGAATTTGGTAGGGCCTATACCTAATGCTGTCACTGTAATACCGGGATAGCCCATATTGCATCTTCAGCCACAGTTAAAGTACAATATAAAAGACTCTGGAGCAAGCTGTGCTTTAATATTTGTTACTGTCCAACGTTTCACTAAAGTGCTAGACAAAGTATGCATCCACTTCACAGTGAAGCATGCTCTTTCTGGAAATAAAGCAGTTTCCCCGAGAGCTTGCAGTGTCCCTGCTTGAACAAGTATATGAGCTCCATTTGAAATGAAACATTGTGTTCGGGTCCAGGCATTTTGGTACCAACAGTAAAACATGTAGAAAATGGCAAGTTGACCTACAGTACTTGTGCCTGGTTTCAACAGTTTCAGATACAGACTCATAGATTATATGCTGACCTAGTGTTGACCCTGCTAGACAGAAAAATAAGCTAAATAAAAATTAAAAAACACCCAATAACAATTGCTAAATGAAGCACTTTGGCAGTAACTTGTAGTATTTGTTGACATCATTTGCCTAAGATGAGTCTTGTGTTGACCAGGCAATTGTTTATATTATTTATTTGAACATACAGTATTGAGATTTATATATTTGTGGGTAGCCATTCATATATGAATTTACAGTGTAGAGCAGCACTGTATTGACTACTGAAATATTCGAACACACCATAGACAGCATGCCAAACTCATCTCCAGGGTAAGGTCTTCAGTTATGTTATATCCTTGGTGAATTAGGGTCAGTGTCTTTCTTTAGTAGCTGCTCTTATTTATGGCTTAAACAGAGGCCCTGCTGCAAAGCAACAGAGGGGAGTAAAAATGTCCAATTGTGGGCCAAACCCATTGTTGGGGAGTGTGCAAAGGCAGAAAAGAGAAGCTGCTACCAGGCTGCCATTTCACATCCGACACAGAAACAGGCAGTGGCAAGAGTGGCTCTGTCCCCAAATGGACTGGGCCATGTACCAGAGCCAACACAGAACCCTTCTGCAGGCACAGATTACTCCCCATCACTCCCTTGGATGAAACAGGAAGAATGAACCAAATAGCTCCCCCTTAAATGATTTACAGGATTAATTACAATACAGCCCTTCATACCTGAAGATTTATAGGTACTAAACACTTGTAGTTCCCATTTACTTCAGTGGGAATTGTGGATGTTCAGCACTTCTGAAAGTCAGGCCACTTGTCTTTATAATGCAGTGTATTAGAAGCCATGCTTATTTAGAAGATGCAGGAGGATAAGTAAATCCAAACAAGATATAGTAATTTATGGTAAATATGGTTTGAGGTTTTGTCTTACTTTACTCTGAAGATGAAATAACAAAATAGCTTCAATTGATACCCTCATAACCATTACAATTTCTGGGAAGTCAAACTTTTGCTTCATAACTGATTTATAAGTATTGATATATTAATTTACTGGTTGAGAAAAATGTGAGTTTGAAACCATATGTTATGCTCAATACATTTATGAGTTCAATTAATAAAATCATAGGAATGAAGGGCCAGGGGAGATGGAACAATTTTTATGGTGGGGGTGCTGAGAGCCATTGAACCAAACCTATAAACCTGTATATAATGGAAACCACTTCAAACCAGGGGGTGTGGCAGCCCCCCCCCGAGTTCCAGCACCTGTGTATAGGGCTGGAAGGGAGCTCAAGAGGTCATCCAACTTCAGCCCCCTGCAGTGAGGCAGGACTATGTAAACCTAGATCATCCCTGACAGATATTTGTCTATCCTGTTCTTAAAAACCTAATGACAGGGATTCCACAATCTTTTTTGGTAATCTATTCCAGTACTTAAGTAGCCTTACAGTTAGAAAGGTCCCCCCACTTCCCCCCAATATCTAAACTAAATCTCCTTTGCTGCAGATTAAACCAATTATTCTTTGGCCTACCTTCAATAGACCTGTAAAACAATCCATCACATCCTCTTTATAACAGCTCTTAGTATATTTGAAGACTTGTTAGGTCCACTCTGTCTTCTTTCCTCGAGACTAAACATGCCCAGGCTTTTTTAGCTTCCTCATAGGTTATGTTTTCCAAACATTTATCATTTTGTGTTGCTCTCTGCTGAACTCTCATTTCTCCATGTTTTTCTTTGAATGCCGCACCAAAACCTGGACATAGTATGCCAGGCAAGGTCTCACCAGTGCTGAATAGAGAAGAACAATTAGCTCCTGCATACGGCACTCCTGTTAATACACCCCATACTGACATTAGCCTTTTTCAAAACTGCATCACATTTTTGGTTCATACGCCATTTGTGGTCTACTATAACTCCCAGTACTACTGTCTAACCCTTTATTCTCCATTTTGTTGTGCATTTGATTTTCCCCTCCAAACTATAATACTTTGCACTTGTCTTTATTGAGCTTCATGTTGCTGATTTCAGACCATTTCTCCAATTTATCAAGGTCATTTTGAATTCTAATCCTGTCTTCCAAAGTGCTTGCAACTTCACCCAATGTGGCGTCATCTGCAAATGATATAAACATATCCTCATCTCCCCCAATGTTGACTATTCCTTGTAACCCTATTATCCTCTAGGTGCTTACAGACTGATTTTTAATAAAACTGTTCCAGTACCTTTCCAGGTATTGAAGTTAGACTGACTGATCTAATTCCCAGAGTCCTTTGTTCCTCAGAATGTTTGCTCCTCCCTAGCCCTCTGGGATCTTACCCACCTTCCATGAGTTCTCAACCATGACTCGAATGGTTTCAAGATTCATAGATTTCAATTAGTTCCTTAAGCCTAGAGTGAATTTCATCAGGCCCTGATTACTTGAATACATAGAATTCATCTAAATAGTCTTTAATCTGTTATTTCCCTATTTTCGCTTGTGTTCCTTCCACCCTGTTAATATTAATTGAGTTAAGCAGCTGGTCATAATTT